ACCAAAAAAAATACAAAATATAATTAAATAACCGAAGTAATGAAATAATAGAACAAAGACACCATTCTTACTATAAATAAAAGTAAAAGAAAAAAAACCAGCTTTATTCCCGGTATTCTGAACGTTACATTAAACACAGACACCGCAAACAGTTCCTTCCCGGATCCCGGTAACAGCAGCCAGTCCCCCCTGCTCAACTCCAGCCCCCGCACCAGCGCCGGCTCCCCCAGTACCGGCGCAAGGCAGACGCGGTCCAGGTCCCGGCGAAAAGACCCCCGCAGAGCCCCGACCGGAGCGCCCCGGGCGGGGAGGGGCGTAGGTGGTTGCGGCTCGCAAAGGCGGACTCTGCGGCAGCAGAGCGGACCGGGGAGCGGCGGTGGGGCCGGGCGTGCGTGCAGAGCCCGCTGCGGGCTCTGGATAAAATAGAAACTAAAGTACTTCTATGTAACTAACTCAGAGAATGATATGAAACAATTATTCTGTTTCTTGTATCTGCAGACTGGCCTTTCCAAGTGATAAGGTAACAGTGACAAAAACAGAGCATAAGCATCCAGGAAGGATTTATCGACTGTATCGGCATTATCAGGGAATGTGAAGCACCAGGATAAAAAAACAGGAAGAAATAAAATATGTAGACCTAATTTACAGAATGTTCTGCAGACAAGTCAGACGTTAAAAGGAAACAAGAGAGTTCCTCGAATATCAAAAACTCAAATGAATGTTTGAATAATGTATAAGCTGATGAATATGCATGTAACCGTATACAGGGAACATGTTTGCAAGCTACCTCTGCACTCTTTGGCCATGCACCAAATGCACCTCAGTGCTGGATTATTTTGTCTTTTTATCCTTCATTAAACTTTAAAATATTTTAAAGAGTGAACTCTTTATCACATCAGTGAAGCTTAAGCTGATCTGCATCCAGGTGCTGCAGAACCTGCTGGGGGAGGCCCTTGAGCTAAGTGTGAAGCTACCGCAGTGGAGATCAAGTATTTCAACACTACAATAGCATAATCAGCAACATTAATTAATTTTGTCTTCTTCATGTAAGCCTCAGCATTAAGAACACTACTGGCCTCTACTAGTATTAATATTCACAGTAAGTGTTATTAGTATTAATATTTAGGTAATAAAAACTGCAGGAGACTGAGGACTTGTAACAGGTGCAGGACAGGTTCAAAAGGAACCTGGGAAAATACCTGTGTCTTTCTCAGTTGAAAGGGACAGCAGAGTTGATATCTGCTCACAATAATCCTCTGGAGAGTGGAGCAATGTTTCTATGGAAAGATGACTGGGGGTAAAATCAGAGGAAACAGAGAAATTACATTTCTATCCTAAAAGGAGTTATAATGGGACAGAAATTTTAGGGCAAAATACAGGTGCTGTTCCCAGGATGGAACTGGGTCGGCATGCTCCATGATGATTTCCCATACAACCATAAGCACCTGCTAAGGGGAGTGGAGTGGGATGGAGACACCACAACCAGGCTCTGCCAAAATCATTGCAGGGGCAGCAACTTGATGGTACTTTGAAGGTGATTGACTGCATAGCAAGGGCTATTTGGTATATGCAGGAATACTTTCCAATCTAGTGTCTGAAGACCAATTTAGAGGAGGCACCTGTAAGTCCAAAGCCAGCCAGACCTTATGCTCTTAGCACCATTCATTTAGAAGAAATCCTATGACATTTGCAAATTTAAGAGGTGACACCCATTCAGACCCTCCTGGGTGCGAACAATAGCTCTTTTCAACAGCAATAAAATCTGCACACCCTGTTGTCTCAAGGTCACTGCACTTGAGAGTCCTGAGATGCAAATCCAGCCAAAGTTCTCCTTCCCAGAAAACTTCTGCTATAAGAAATCCTGCATAGTTTGCAATTCTAGGAGAGGAAATCCCACAGGAAAAACGAGGCTTCAGGCTCCAAATGGGATCTCTTTTCCACACAATGGAAAACTCAGCAAGCCCTTCTGGCAAGACCAGTTCACAGGAGGCCCACAACTCTCAAGGGCCAGGCAGATCCAACTCCACAGAAGCTTTAATCTGAGAAAAATCATGTGATGTTGGTACTTTTAAAAGGCAGAATGGCACATTTAGACCCTGGCTGATGCTTCAGAGAGTGATTCTTTTACACAATAAAGAAAGATTTCCATTCTAATGTCTGTAGGCCACTTTGGAGACAGCCCCTGAAATCCAAGACCAAGAAGTGCCATCGTTCTTGACAGCTGTCATCTGGGAGGAATCCTATGACATTTGTAATTCAAGAAACCAAACTCAAAATTTCAACACCTGATACACAGACACAAGACTGCCATTTTCCTGAGGTAAGAAATACTTCAAACCTAACATTCGTAAGGAATTCAGAATACACACCCAGGACCCCAAAGTGCTGGCTCCTGGCAGATTGTCTCTATGGTAAACCCTGTCACACTAGAAATGCTAGGAAGCAGAATTCAAACTACAGGACAAGCACCTGTAAGGAAAAGGTACCTCTGTTCATGAGATAGAAAAACTTCCACCCTAGTGTTTCAGAGCCAGTTGACATGAGGGCCTAAGGGAGGCCAAGGCTACCTACACCTGTACTTCCTAGAACCGCTGGTGTCAGTGGAATACTGCGATATTTGCAGTTTTACAACTGGAAGGAAAACTGGCGCTGGGTCGGGGGGCGGCAGTACCGTTCTGTGTCCACAAGGCGGCAGCACTGCCGCCGAGCTCGGCCCGGGGCTGCGACGTACATTGGGGGCGGGCAGAGAACGGGGCAAAAGGTGCCAGAGAGCCCTTTCTATCCTCTTCAGCCCCTGCAGCCGTTGTTACGGTTTCAGGGCACTTGATTGGTTCATTCCCAGAAAATAAAACGTTATGTCTTTCTTTTCAAAACTACTACCCATCTCTAGTCAGAGTTTCCTACATTCCTGTGTACAAATGAGTGGATAGAGAGAGGGTTTCTTCACAAATGAATTTAGAGATAAAAGACTATTCTTTGCCAATACTTGTAAAATTGAAAAATATTGACAGGCTTTAGTATTCTACACCCACCCTTCCCTGTGAAATTTCTGGCAGCTTCAGGTCTGAGGAATGGCACCCAGCATGACCCCCCCTCATTCGCCACTCACCTGCTCCTCCACCGCCGTGTGGCTCCCTCTCCTCGGGACCTTGGGGTGCCCCAAATGACATCAGAGTCCTGAGTCTTCATGTCCTTTTCCTCACCCCCAAAGAAAGCACAGAACTAATCAAACTGACCTGGGCAGCAGCCTGGTACTTTAGTCAAGCCCTTTCCACATATACATCCCCCCAGAAAGGGACTGCTCCACCAAGAAAGGGGGAGCAGCCCGCAGAAGGGCTGAAGTTCCTCCCCAGCCCTGCTGTCACAGGCAAGAGGCAGAAACACGGAGTGACAGCAGAGGACACAAGAAGAAAAGGAAGAATGCGATGCAGGACGAAATTGACAAAAAAACCCCAAACAAACAAAAAAACCACAAAACCAAAAAAACAAACAAACAAAAGACCCCAAACAAAAACAAACAAAAAAACCAAACCAAACCAAAAAAACCCTGGGATGGGTAGCACGAGAGAGGGATTAAAAAGGAACAGGGACAGCAAACGGGATACAAGGATTCTGTGAGGAACAATGGCACAGGGAGCACCACAGAGCCACAGAGAATAGAAAGGAACACGAGTGAGGCATGGAGGAAGACAGAGAAAAAGCCAGAGTGCTACACACATGGCAAGGACACAGGGTTACAAAGAGGGAAATGGACTGAGAGAGGAAATGACCATGGCATGTGCATGTGGGGGGCAGGAAGGCGGGCAAGGCACAGCAGAGGAATGGAGAAAGAGAGGCATGACCAGCAGGACAGAGGCTTACCAAGAGAAGGGTACAATGAGGGAGAAGGGCTGGGCCACAGCTGCAGACAGGTACAGGCAAATGGACAGTGAAAGGGACAAAGAAATACAGTCACAGTACAGGACACAGGAAAAAAGAGAGGAAGAAAGGAGAAGAAATAAAGATACACGCAGGGAGGGAGACACAGAGAGACAAAGAGGAGAGGGATTGAGTAATATTTATTAAATAAATATTGAGTGTTTGTTTCTTGAAAGAAAAACAAGAACAAGAGAGAGTGAAGTAGTGAAAGGGAATGGGAGGGGGAGAACACAGGACAAGAAAGGAACACAAAAGACACACAGGACAGAGAGAAGAAAAGGGGTGAAAAGTTGAATATAAGGCTGAAAGAAAAATAGGAACAAACCCCAAGACTAAGTAGTGGAGAGTGTGGCTAATGAAGGTGTCAAAAAAACACCAGCTTGAACAGAACAGATTACTGTCATGGCTCGACCTGGGACTCTTTAATCAACATCTGTCTCTTGGCAGGGCCATAAACACCCTGATAAAACATGAGGGGAAAGCTGAATGGCTGATGTGCTCCAGCTTTGGTGCTGCTCAGCCCTAATCCCAGCCCGTGCCACCAGTGAACACCCTGATCTCTGAGTCTTTTCTCAGGGAAATTTCACCTTTATCCATTCTCTTCCCCTCTCAGTATCTCTGCATGATCAGAATGAACATGAATAGAGGCTTCTCCATTGCAGGGTCTTTGGAAATCCTGCAGTGACTTGGAGACTGAGCAAGAGGAGTATAGAAAACCCGGAACCTCTACTGCCAACTAACATCAAACACCTTGCTCTGGAGAAGAGAGAACAGCTTGTTTTCACATGTCCAAATTCCTTCAAGTTTTAGTATCATCTGTTTCCTGGCATTGTGAAAAGTGTTTAGCACAACAGAGTGAATAAAACAGTCCCATTTTCAGAATACACAACTGAACAAGAACAGACAGCAAAACTGCTTTGAGGCAATTTGGGCACACATTTCCCTTTTTGCAGTGTGAGCTTTCTTTTGTATCATGCCTGAAATTCTGAGTTCCTTAGGGTTGCCCCAGTCCTTCGCTCTCAGTGCTGCTCTAAAATGATGAAAATTAAACTATTATTTGTCAAAAACAACTATGTTCCTCATAGAAGACAGATGTTTTTATTCCAGGTATGTTGGGGTGGGGGGAACCCATAAAGGATATGGCTTTCTATTACTTTAGTGTAATTTAGACTAATAATTAAAATGTGAAAAGACATTACTAATACTGTGGGAAAACCCAGAACCATCTTGCAGTCATAAAAATTAGAACAGCCTATGTTATATGTTACTGTTGCTCATCATTTTTTCTTGGTGTGGGACAACTGGCTTCATACTTTTTCTTCAGGGCTTTCAAATATACACGCAAACTGTCAGGGTCCAGTCGAGAATTTCTGGCAGTCTGAACCAATCTCATTGCTAACTGGTATGCAGCTCTCTGTTTCATCATCTCAGGAGTGCTCTTCTGCCTGTGCTGTTCTTAAAAATATATATACATTAAAACATGAAATAAATTATGGTATATTACAAAAAAAAAATACTATTTTCCAGCCTGTTTTTGACCTCACAATTCTTGGTTTGCATACAAACATTACACCCAAAACTCCTTTATCCTAAGGGCCATTTTGTGTTGTCAGCTAACAGTGACCTTCAGTATAATCTTTAAGAACTGGTTCCAGAAATACAAAGTTTAATGAAATCTGTTTTCATTAAAACATAGGCAGCGCTTATCATGTAACCTTTCAGAAACTGAAAATACATTTGAGTTGTATAAAAACTGTGAAATACAGCATTAAAATTTTCTACTACATACCAAAATTTGTTTTGCAATGTGACATGTGATTTCCTTTGCATCCAAAATTATGGACGATGGTAGGGAAGACATTTCTGCAGCTTTTAGTCCTAAACATATAAAACACAAATCATGATTTTTAAATGTCATCTTTATCCCTACCTTCCATTTTATGTCTTCCAGAATTAACTTAGCCTGTTTTTCTAAGGGGTCAAGATTTAATTTTAATTAAAATAATTTCACTGTATTTTCTCCTTGTGTGTTTTTTTTTGTTTGTTTGTAGGGGGGGGGGTTGGCTTTGGGGTTTTTTGTTTTTTTTTGTTTTTTTTTTTTTGTTAATAAACAATAACATTTGGAGAGATACAAAATAACATGTCTACTTTGTTTTAATGCTATCTCTGAAACACACCTCAACATCAAGCTACTGCTGGTAATACCATAAATGGGTAGAATGAGACATATTAGGGGCTTAAAAGAAAAAAAAAAAAACCAGCACAATGGTGTTAACAGCTCTCTTGGTTTGGGTTTTTTAATTTGGCAGAAAATACAGAGGTTTTGCTAACTGCACTCTCAATTATATCCAGATGTCCAGTGGACAGGGATGTCATTTTTCAACTTCCTTGTTGCCAACAGGCAAACTTCCAGATACTGGTGGGAAGAAAGATAGGTAAACATTTTTTCCTGCCCTGACACGATTTTTTAACTTTTTCCTTTGTCCGTACCCCTGGAAAGTCTGTGGTTCATTGGGTGGTTTAATACTACAGGTTTAAAAATTAAAAAGGACCATGAAGAGCCCTTGCACCCTTTCTTAGAATGTGACTTTGCTCAAGTAAGGTAAAGCCAAGACATGAACAATGAGTTTCTAAAGGTCTCCTGCTCTCCAAAATTACTCTCTAAACATACAATTCTGTGGAGTTAATCTTGGTGTAGCATCTAAAATTGAGCTTGTGCTGCTGAAGTTAAACAAAGTTATTCTGAAATTCCGATTAAGGTGAGTTTTAACTCCTGTTACTTGAAGCTTAGTTGGTATAATTTTTAATCTTCAGTTACCAATAGCTTGCAAAAGTCATGTGTATCTAACTTCCTCTTGATTACATGTTACCTACATCAATCAACATCCAAATCTAGTATTTGAAAACACACAGATTTCTTTAAATCTCTGTCATTCACTCTTTTCTTTATTGACCCATAATTAATTAATCTGTACAATCTACACTATAATTTATTCTAAAGTTAAAAGAGAAGTAAATCCACTTTTCAGAGAACACTGATGCTTTTGTAGACCCTCTCAAAATTGTCTTAGCCTAATATACAGTAAAATTCCTCTCCTTTTTAAAAGAAACTTTTTGCTAATTCCTTTTTGCTAATTGAAAAGGGCCAATCATATCACTGCTTATGGCAGACATCTTTAAGTCACTACAGAACTTAAAGATATGTCTGCCATACATACATTCATTCACTTCTTTAAGTGCAGATAAAATTAACTCAAGTAGCATATGCTCAGAATGACACAACGCATTCAAACCAAAATGAATCAAGAAGATACTGGCATCAGTAAGACATCAGTAAGATTTTTTCTTCACTACAAAATATCATGTAAGTTCTTCATACTACCCAAAATTACTATCTCACTACATGGTTACCTAAAACAAACAATTATTTGGAATTATAGACCTGCATATTTCTGTATCTTTCTCTTTGAGAGAGACACAAACTCAAGAGAAACCTGTCATCACAAAAAATACTGTTAGATGCCTAATAACTGAAATAGTATCTTGGTAACTTTTGCCAGCTGTAAGTCACAGTGGAATCCATTACCGTAGTTCTTTTCCTCTGTGTATCCTTTAGAAAGTGTGTAAGTGTAAGCAATTTTTTCCTTATTTCCAGCACTGCTTCTCACATGTTGCACTTCAAAATGGTAGTTTTCCACATTGGGATATAAAGCATCTATATGACATAGTTCCAGGAAATGTGTAGCAAACAGTGTAAATGCCTAAAAATGGAAACAAGAAAGAAAAGTTATTTTGGCAATGATCCAGAAATAAATTACAATACATAAGAAAAATTAAATCTCGCAGATGTCCAGGTTTTCCTCCAAAACACTGAAAAGCTGTATTTACACTACTAAAGCAAATGAAAATTCTTAAGGGATGCGTTCTTCCACTGGCAAGTACATCTTTTCCAACTGAGGATTCTTCTGCTCATTTCTCAATAGAAGGAAAACAACATCAGAAACAAAAGAGAATCCACAATGCTTACAAAATCTGATTGGTATGGATTGGAACGATTGTCAAATGGTTGCTTAATTCTCTCAAGGAATTCTTTATCAAAAGTACAAGTGACAGAAAGTATTTCAGATTTTCAAACCAAAAGCCCCTCAAAAGTACTCTGAATAAACTCTGAGGAGAAACAAACACCTGCACACTCAAAAGGCTCTTAACAGCCCCCTGAGGTTGATCACATAACTAAAACTTGATGGAGAAGGAAGACTTGCTCACCATATGATGATCGACAAGTCTCGTCTTTATTCCCGAATCACCGATTATTATACACCTTTTAATTAGCTCATGCATAGTGCAAAATCCCAGCTCACCATTGGCTAACTAGCTATCAGCTAACTACGTGTTGTTTTTGGTATAACTATCACACTTTCCCAGGCTGTCCCGCTCTACCACCTGCTCGGTGCATTACTTCATCCGTGGGCCAAGGACACAGTTTAATTGGAATGCAACTCCCCTCATTTTCTATCTTGGTCAAATTAATCTCACTGTGAGCTTTAGCTCGGAGCTAGCTTGTTACAAAGCTCTTAACAAAAATTATCTTCTACTTTTCTAAACAAGTTTCTAACCTCTGTCACCAATTTGTAAGTTGTGTGGAACTACCACTGTACTTTGAAAGGTAACAACCAGATAAAGAGATTCACTTTTAATATCCAAGCATAAAGCAAAACTAAAACTAAACTAAATAAGTAAAACTAAACAGACTGGGTTATTCTCTTTTTAGACAGAGTTACAAGCTTGCAAGCAATCTGCAATGATATGGTGACCAGTGTTCTGTTTTTTTAAATTGACTAGTTAGTTTTGTTCACAGTAGCTTGTGTTGCACTGCTTTGGATTTGTGACCGAGACAGTACTGATCACTCACACAGGTTTTAGTTACTGCAGAGCAACGTTTTCACAGCACCAAGGGCTGTTCTGCTCCTCACCCTGTCCCACCAGCAAGCAGGCTGGGGGTGTTCATGGAGCTGTGGGGGGACACAGCCAGGATGGCTGACCCAAACGCACCCCAGGGATATCTCACACCATACTACACCACCACAATAAAAACTGTGAGGAAGGAGGGACATTTGGCGTTCTGGTAACAGTCACAGTGAGGAAACGCCATTGCAAGAAATGACTGAACATCTGCCTGCCGATAAGGAAGCAGTGAATGGATTCCGTATTTTGCCTCTGCATATAGCTTCCCTTACTTACTAAACTGTCTTTATCTCAGCCCACAAATTCTTGGGCTTGGGCTCTCGCTTGGGACCAAGCGAGCGGCTGGGTGGTGTTTAGCAGCTGACTGGGGTTAAATCACAACAACCAGTGAACAGAACTGCAGCTTATGTCAGCATGTTTCCTCTATCACTGCAATTCTTACTATTCACCGGTTATCCAACATACCATATTTAGACAAGAAATCTTTGCAAAACCGTTGTTAAATTATGAGAAAATACTGTATTTACTTTCAGGATGACAAAACAATTCTAAGGCTTAAATCCCTTTAAAATAGAATTACCTTTAAGTTCAACAGATATTCACAGGCAGCATAACAAATTCCAATACCTTCTTCGGCACTGGTACCTCTGCCAAGTTCATCAATAATTATGAGTGATTTATCATTAGCATTTTGTATGATGTACGTTATCTAGAAAAATATTCAAAGTGTTATCATTCCTATAAATGTGGACTTTCAAAAAGGAATTTTTTAGGTTATTCAGATGGAACACAATGCAGAAATTTTTAAAAAAATCTCTTGAGATACAGCAATTTTACCTTTTCAAAGCTTTCAAACAGCTGTCGATTCTAATCAAGCAAAAAGTCACACTACACCATTCTTTCTCTTTTTCACTGAACATATCACTTATCTTCAAAATGGTATCAGTTTATGAAAGGAAATTGAGAGACCTTAGGCCCCTACAAATGATAATTTAATGTCTAAGCTGACCCAAAAATGTTAAAAGTACTATCCAACAAAACACTGATTTTTACTCACACTGGAATACCTTTCTATTTAAGAGATGCCTAGTTTTCTACGGTTTATCATAAAAGAGAGGAAGGCTGAATTTTTGACTATTTTTCAAAGTACACTCTTTCAGTGGAAATAGACTAGTACAATTTCTATTAGCTTAACAGTAAAAATGGGCCTTGGACCTGGAGAGCTATATTTCATACCTCTTTCATTTCCTTCATGAATGTTGATGCATTTGTTTCAATATCATCATCCATACCTATTCTGGTAAAAATCTGCTCTGCGATTCGAAAAGAACAATACTCTGCTGGGACATAAGAACCTACAAAGTAAATTACAAGTTTCTCTCATCACTATAACATTTGCCTTAATACGCCACTGGGAAAAAAAATTACTTTTACACTTGGTTTTTGTGCACAGCAGAGAAAGCATCTTGATAAAGTTTTGTAAGATTACGTTCTACCATTAATTTATAAGAAAGAAGTTATTATATAGATAGGATCATTAAAGAAGCTTATCAGTGAAACTTGTAAGAAATCATATGCCTGAAGCTGTTTGTCAGTCTAAAGGGATGCAGAAAAAACAATGAACTCTAGAATAGTTTTACATTTCTGTGGCCATTGATTTACTATTCCAAATAAATGTTAGTTTCCCAAAATCAAGATGATGTTGCCTTTATCAGACTTCAAAGCATAGTAGTTTTACTGAACAGGAAAAAACAGGAACCTTTTGCCAAAAACTTCACAGTCTGCTTTATTCATATTAAACTCATGGTTTTGAGAGCAATTCCTCAAGAACTTGCAGTTACTGGGGACTGAACCCACAAATGCATCATGGATAAATTGTATTCTCCACTGCTAAGTAGCTTAATTCTATAGAGTTAGGTCTTTGACCTGTGCTATCAGACTTACTTTTAAGTAAAAAGTAATGAGGAATTCCTGAATATAGGAATGAATCTCAGTTAGACTTTATGAATAGTTGGTTTCCTTTTATAACTTTAGTAACAGAATCTTGCAATATTTGTTACTACTTTCATTTGAAGTAGTTGATTATTTATCTATTAATTGTACTTGTCTGGAAACATGTTTCTCTATGGAATTTAAGTATGCTTAAGGTCATATGTTTCTTTTGGATGACTAACACATGTGTCTGATCAGCATACTTGAGGGACACACTATCAATCTACCAGAAGGTGCTAGATTGGTTTATGGTGCTCCAAAGAACTAGGGCACACAACTGTGCTTCTCTGAAAATAGTCTGGGGAGCTTCAAGACACACAGATGCGGCCCTTTACGTTTCCAGTGGCAGATGAGAAACCTTATGGTTGCCTTTGTAAGCAATACAAGAGCTGGTAGAAGAAAATGGACTACAAATTACCTGTTAATATTTTATTTAGATATAATGTTATTCTGGAAGCTAAATCATTCAACTTTATAAATATTTTTAACCAGAAGAAAAATGTGCTGCAGAAGATGATTAATACCCTACACTCTTACTCACCAATTTGTGCCATAATTTGACAGAGAGCAATTTGTTTCAGGTATGTTGATTTTCCACTCATATTTGGTCCTGTAATAATGACAAAATTGTTGCCCTCTGTCAGGTACGTGTTGTTAGACACAGGTTTTTCCACAGCTATCTTTTCAAGAATGGGATGCCATCCCTGCTTGATTGCTAAAGTATCAGTAAATTCTGGACGAACTAAATCAAGAAAAAAGATGTAAACTGAGAAGTTAGTGTGGGAACCTTTACATTATTAAGCTAGTGTGCTTTGAAATAAAGTTAATTCTTCCAGAGCAGAGCTCTTGGGAAGAATTACCAGCCACTTTCAGGTACAGATTCTCATTACCATGCAAGCCTTCATGATTTATGACTACAAAAAGAAACGCATAACTAAAACTTTATTTCTAAATTAATGTTCTATGGTTTTGTTCCCTAGTAAGTAGGGCTGAACTCCAGTAATAAAAATGCAAAGAGCTGAAATATTTTTATAAAGTACAAAAAGGGTTGTGGACTCCTGTTACTTCTACATATGTACTCTGCATTTGTATGGCAAACAGGAAAGTAGCATTCCTTCTATTTTTATTATATGTTACCATAGGGATTATTTAGAAATGTACCATGCCTACAAAGTTCCATTTGATGCTGGAACTCTCCCTATGGATTTCTGTCAGAATACAGTTCTTTTCTGAACCAGTTATGAATGGCTCCTTTATCTACCAGCATTAATGGAACAGAAAAAGGTGTAAACAGAGAATGTCCATACACTTTATGCTTTTGAGTGGAATATGCTCAAACTGTCTATTCCGAGAAGAGTGACTGGGAAGGCTTATGGCAGCTAACTAGCAGAATTGAATTTTGATGAATGGAAGCAGAAAGAGCATCAGCATAAAACTGGCAAAGACAGAGCAGAGACACTCACTTAAGACTACTGAGACAGAAAAAGAAATGGAACCAGACAAAACAGTCTGGTTATTCTCCATCAGAAAGGACTTTATCTAATCCATAACAGAATCAAAGAAGAAACTTACCATAATCAGAAAGAGTGCAGGCGTGGGCAAATGAAAGCAGCATATCCAGCATAGACACAATGTCAGACAGCTTGTATAAACAATGAATGTGTTCATAGATCTCATTCAGTAGTTTACACACTATTCTGAAATAAGACACGGATAAAGCTGTTGCTCAGCACATCCTGTCACTTTATACAACTTACAAAAATAAAGGAATTATAATGTCCATGCTGCATACCTTAGGATACAAGGTCACGCATAAACTGCTATCATGTATACCAGATGTGAGCAAATGTATAAATTTCTTGGAAGTAAATTAAGATCTTGTACCATTATCTCAGCTAACATTCTGCTGATCAGACATAAGGAACACACCTCAAATACCAACAGCTCATATAAAAGCTTCACAAAGAGAATGAACTAAAAACATAGCTATGGAATCAAGTATGTTTTATTAACATGTGGTCACATGGGAAATGTGACTCTAATTCCCTTAGATCTTCATGTTAAAAAAAAGCCTACAGGGTTGCTAGAAAGAATCTCCGTTCAACTGACAGATAACATTATACTTTCTAAGTTGTAAATCAGAGAGGAGAGCAACATGACATGCAGCAAGAACAAGATACAGAAATAAACAGTTCTGCTCTAAATATAAGGAACTGACTAAAAGTACCAATTCTGCATTACAGATGCAAAACTAATGCATTAATTGTGACATTTTGTGCAGGTAATTCACCCATGAAAAATTTACATCATGACCACTTCTATTAATAAATGCCAATATATTTGTGAACATGTTTAACACAAGACACAATTTTATGGGGGTTTCTTTGTCTCAGGAGGTACACTTGAACAGTGTTGCTTTAGACAATGGCTGTAAGTAGCCATAATTTAACAGAAAGAGAGCTTTAAAAGCCCATGCACAGATAATTAGAGAAAATAAACATACTTAGCAAATATCAAATAGTTTTAACAGGTCTTACAAGTAGGTCATATGATATATTTCTCTCAGGGATTCCTGACATCTTTCATTCATTTTTATTAAATCTGCTGAAGTGAAGCTATATGTGTTTTTCATTTTCGTGATCTATAGGGAATAGAAACCAACAGTAAGAGCTTGCTGCACTATCAGAAGGAAAAACAGCTTCAAAAAACTGAATTGTGAACCATATGGGGAAACAAAAGAGAAAAAACAATTCCCAGTTTCATTTTTACTACATAATTTTTTATGAAAATTTCATTTAAGATAACAATTAGCAAGAAATACAACTTTATTCTTGCACGAAACATAATTTCATGTACTTGCACATTTTTTATTGTATAACAATATTGGGTAGTTATAAAAACATCACAATTAAACTTCATTTACTTCTAGATGTCTTCAATGAAATTATTTTCATTGTTATTTACTGTATAATATGTAGTTTATTAATATATTATATATTGTAAATAAAGCATACTAAATAAAGTAAATATATTATGCTGAAACATATTTTGTACAGATACCTTTGTAAATTCTGAAGGAAGCTGGCCATTAGGTAATGTTGAACAATCAGCATTCATCTGGATAAAAAATCCACGAGCAGAGCTGAAACTTGTTTTCATCGGCAGTCTGTACTTTTCAGCAAGTTGCGTTATCATACCTACATACCACATACAAAGATTTAACTCAAATTACAAACATTCAGGTACACCCCTCTCCCTCCCCCTCCTTGTGCTGGTACAAAGATAGAAACTGTTAATGGAAGGTTTCAGAAATACAAAACTAGTACCATCTGTATTTTTCACTATGTACGAATGCAGGATTAGAATAAAACAGGAACTTCATACCATATGACAGGTGCTAAAGTTTCTGATGCTCTTTTAGGTTTCTGACTATAGACTAAGCTAAGATGGTCCCATCTATAAATCAATAATTTAAACTAAAAAAAAGGAAATCAGTTTCAGATGAAACTTTTTTCTTCTATTTTGACATAATGATAATCAGGAAGGTTACTAAAACACAGTAATGTACATCATGCTAAAACTCCTGTTGTTCATATTTTCCAACTCCTAATACCTAAAAATGCAGTCCACAGATAGATCAAGACTGGTTAAAATATAAAGAAAAAAAGAACACAGGTATTTTAAATGAAGAAGCTAAACCAAAGATTTACATGTTTTATGCAGAATGCTTTTTAGGTAGAGTAATTCTGTTCCATTACTTCAACTTTTTTGCACTTTAAGAGAACAAGGACTAACAGAGCTTTGAATATAGGAATCACCAAATAATTATTCAATTTTATAAAAATAAAACTGAGGTTTTGTCCAGAAATGGAGAATCTCAGTTGCTTATCAATCAATTAGTACTAATACGAAATACTTTTTACATATGAGAAGGTTAAAACACATATAATTACATGGCTTCTATATGTAAAGTGCAATCTACTTTAAACTCCAAATAAATACAAATTTTAGTTTAGAAATACCTGCTATGTCATCAACAATTTCTGTGTATGTTCTACGAGCTATGTCAAGGAATTCATTGATATTTGGCTTAACAGCATAGCACTTCTGGGTCCTCATACTCAGACATCCTTTTGTGTATCTTGTATCATCATTAATTACACTTGTAATCTTTTCAAGTATAATTCCAAATCTGCAATATCAGTTGTATCACTAATTAGATACGTAATACTTTATGATTTTTACTTGCAGTACCATCCCTAAATTACAGGTAGCAGTATTACAAGTAAGTGAAGCTACTTTTAAACTTTCTACTGTTAAAACAAAACACTACATTTCATTTCTATTTTCACCTCAGAATGAATTGCAACTATACCTAAGTCTGAATAAAAATAGTATTCACATCTTTGAGAGATATAAATTATTTCTCAATTATACATTTTTTTCAAACACACAACACTTGATTTTTGCATTATTATAGAGACTCTAGGAAACCACTACTCTTGTCTTTTCAGAATTATTTCTAAGAGAGTTCAGTTTAGCAGCAACCCCACTATCACAGCCAGCTCTCTTGCTTTTATCCCCATATTCATTAGCTGAAAACTTTCAGAGAATTAAAATCGCTTTAAGCAAAAGAACTGAGCTACACTTGTAACTATAAACAAACAAAGATGCAACATATTTTATCTTACAGGCACTTTTGATGAGAGTTTCTAACACAGTAGCAAAGTATTATGAGAAATACCTTGTATCTTCAAGTGAATTGTAATAAGCCTTTAACAGCTGTGTGTTACAGCTTCTTAAAGCAGCCTGTTGAAGATTAAAATATGGACATGACAGTTACTTCTTTTTGCAAACTTTTTAAAGGACTGAAAGTTTTCAGATTCAGTGAGTCTAATCAGCATTTCTGTAAATAGTCTGTGGAATCTGAGCAGGAGTTTCAGTTAAATGTCTGGTACATAACCATTATTCAGGTAATGGCAGGAATCCTCCTCTTCACAACATACACACAAATACGTATTTCAGATTGGCGTTAAGGATCAACATACTAAGTTGGCAGTATTGTGTTCTGTAATTATATTATTTTTTTACTTTATCAATCCCTTCCGACTTAAGATATTCTGTGAAATTTAATAAACTGTACATAAGGAAAAAATGGCCTGTACGGTACTAAAAAAAAAAAAAAAAGAACCAAGACCACTTACTTTCAGAGGCTCCACAAGTTCTAAGGTATGCTTCAGGTAGATTAAATTAGTTATTTTTGATTCAGCAGTTTTAACCTGTTGAAAAATTTTCCAAATATTGGAGACGTTTGTATGACTGTTCTCAAAAGTACTTAAGAATTAGTAGAACTCATATTCTTAACAGTAACAGGTCTATACATTTAATGAAAATCCTGAAAAGCTTCATAAGCTCACTTGGACAACTTTGCATCTGCACAAAAATTTTTTTTGCATCTGCACCTAAATTTTACACTGCCTGCTGTGATAGTTTGTCCATCAGTAGTTAAGATGTTCCTATGTTTGAACTGATAATGACTGACTCGAAGAATAACCTGCTAGCCCAAGCTGTGAAAGCTTTTCATCTTCTATGTATACTTAACTCTATACAAGCTCTACACAATTCGTAGACTTTTTCAAAGCCAATACATATGAAGCTCACAACCTTTTCCATTAATACTGTTAAACACAACATAACCCAGTCTGGTTGATCTCTCTTTGATTAATGTACGTACATCTTAGATATTTGCTCATATGATAATAAAAAAAATCCAGTAAATATCTCAAAATTTTTCTCACAATGATGACTGTTCTTCAAAATATTTCATTCACAGAAACCCTTCACCTTGTTTTGTATGCCCCATTAACACTCACAAGAAAGAATTTTGCCGCTGACATTAGGGGATAACATATGCAGTATACATGCACTATGTGAAAGAATTTTAAGGAAATAACACGATAAATGCAGATAAGCACATGAACATAGGAGCATGACCCCATGTGAAATCTTTTCTCATTTATATATAATATATTTTTAGTCTTGTGACTGAGGGCATCTCATAACTTAGTCATTTAAAGTCTTTTTCTATAAAAGACAAAACTAAACAGTGCTAAATGCATGAATGGAAGAATGCTAACCTCCAAATAAATATGGGGTATAAGTCCCACGAAGGAAACAGATCAGTGGTCATACGTGAAAAAGTGGTAGTGGAATGGATTTTTGACTAATTAGTTCTTACAGGAATTTTAACTGAACTAGCATTACAAGTGAATCTCTGCACATGATACACTCCAACCCAAAGGCAGTAAATGATTTCAGCATTGACATGATTTTTGAAGTACACATCTCAGCAAGACTGGATCAAGCACAGTTTTTGAAGTGTAAGGCTTCTGTACCTTGGAATCCCCTTAAACTGCCTATAATAAATAAATGTTATTTATGCAATGAATATGATTTAAAAAAAAAAACAAACACAATTAGTCCCTCCAAGAAACTCATCCTTTTTCCTAACTACTTTGTAACTGCATGACATAACCTAGAGACAGAGCAGCTATTAAAAAAAAGTTGACCTTTCCAAACCTATTTTTTAAAGTACTGCCTGGGGAGGTGGTGGAGTCACCATCCCTGGATGTGTTTAAAAAATGACTGGACGTGGCACTCAGTGTCAGGGTTTAGTTGAGGTGTTAGGGCCTGGGTTGGACTCGATGATCTTGAAGGTCTCTTCCAATCTGGTGATTCTGTGTGATTGACAGCCTCTCTTAGGATAAGAGAATACTCATGCTGAACATACCACTCACACATTAAGTAACTGAAACTGTAGGTTTCTCAGATGTGCATCTCATCTGCTCACTGGTGCAAGGTTTACAATGAAAATTTTTATGGAGAATAGGAATGAAACATAGTGAATTGCCTAATCTAGCATTTGATAAAAGCAACTGAGCGAGCACTTGAATAAGCATGTCCATTGCATGAATAGTAAACTCTGCTATACTGGAACCAGTCAACAGTGAAAACACTGCAGTAAAAATGTTTGGTATACATGGTCCTATGCATACATAAAAGCATCCTGTGTGACAGTTTTAGTCATATAAATGAACTCGTGAATTCACGTTACAAATTACCACAAGGAAAACTGAGAAAAAAAAAACATTCTGGGTTTTGATTATGTCATTAAAGAGATTTATCTGCATTTATTACTACTGTCCTGTTTGAGTCTGTACCTGAGTTCTTTAACTAGAATTAGACAAATCCTTTATCTAAGCAGGTAAATCAGCACATGAGAAGACACTGAATGGTGAAAAAGTTGTAAGTGGCTAAGATGCTGGCAACACAAGCCTAAACATAAGGAATCATCAACCTCAAAATCAGTGGCAGATATATCCAACTTGAGCACAGTAGGCAAATGTAACTTTTAACACCATGGTTTCAATATGCTTAGTGGAAACAGAGCTGAGAGGTTCAGTAACCGCAAGCTCAGTGTAGTTAACTGTTGGGTCTGATCTCAGCCAAGAGTCACTGGTGAACTACATTAGGGTTTATTCCATTTTTATATTTGTATTGCATGTGTTAACATGCAGACTGCTATATGAGGCAAGGTCTAATGAAAAAATAGTCTTGCTCTTAGACATAACAGTCATTAGGACTTTAAGTCACTAAACACTTTTTCCATTTATGCTGATGTGAAGAAAATTCCTCTCATCTGAGTACAGCTGAATAAAATGTACACTTATGAAGAATAAAGGTAGGGAGTGATGAAAGAGCAAACATTTTTGGAAGCATGTCTGCACAAATTAGGATGAATTATAGACATGAGATTTATATATTGCATGTTATGAACAGATAATTGATTTTTCCAAGGTGTATTTTGAAACATACTGTATCCTGCTTTGGAATCTGTACCAAAACTGAAAGTAGTTGTTCTGTATCCAGGAATTTTGAGATAACTGTAAAACAAAAGTATACACATGAGAAATTAAACTGAAATTATAAGAAGATGTATTTTCTTTGAAAGCACACAATTAATTAGCTATACTAATGCTAATCTTTTACATTCTATTGTCACAAATTATTTACAGGGTAAAAAAAAAACTAGCTTAAAAACAGCTAACATATGCATTATTTGGTCATAACTATACTTACAACTTCCTATACCTAAGCATGCAGTGATTACTGTATAGGTAGACATCTGTCAATTCAGAAATACTTTTTTTACTTAGATTGAATTGTGTTTCTCTTGTGACACAGATGAAGATTATATGATCCAGTTTCAGGTGGACTAATTTTAGTATTGTATTTTACCTTTCTCTGGATCATATGTTTTATGAAGCAACAGGAAAAAATATTCGCAAGTATTACTTAAGCAGTGTGTCTGCTTTTTCATGTATACATTATATATAATTGTATACATCAAACATAATGCATACCCAGCCATAGAGGTAAAGAGACAAACTCCAACTCTTTTAAAAAGCTACTGGCTCACAGATTTCTATACACTGTTTCAGAGAAATTCAACTTTTCTAAGCAAAGTACTTGAGAAAAGTATCACTATGATAATGTAGATTACTTAGAAAAATTAAGTGCTTACTATGTCACTTAACAAACCATTAAAAATACTTTTCAAACATACTGAGTCACACGACATACTTTCCTACATTAGAAAAAAAAAGTTTAAAAAGAAATATAGCATTAAGGGTTACAAAACAAACTACTACCTGCTTGAAGACCAAAAAAGAGCTCCTCATCCTGGAGTAGTTCCTGAACACAGTCCAGTCTTGTGTTAATTGTTTCAGCATCAACTAGAGGTTCCAGGATATTGGATCTAAGTCTTCGACTTCCACCAGGAGTTTTGGTGTAATTTAGAACACCAAGAAGTGTGTGCCCATTCCTTTAAAAATAAAATAAATGTGAAGAATACATATACCAAAAAAAGAGATGGCAAGTGTCAGGAGACATTTATAGGCAAGACTATCCTACAAATCTGAGGCATGCTTAGCATCTCCCCATTTACCATATATATTACATGAACTTCAGCAGTTTAGGAAACTAGGTAATTCAATGTAATTTAATATAATATTAGCCCTCAATCATGCAAGTAGAGAAATACATTTGTACTTAGTATTTTATTCATATTTTGTAGTAGTATTTCATTGCTACTGCAGTGGTAAACTTCACATTTTCCCTCTCAATTAAACTAATTTAAATGAACAAATCAACCCTACCCAAGGAGGCACATGATCAAGTTATAATCAGAGATCAAATATTAATCAGAATAATTTACTTGAATTACATTTCTGACAATAATTTAAAACAGAAGTCAAAGAAGAGAAATAATGTTTGGTTTTATTATTTTAAAGAACATATTTCAGTCAATATAGAAGTTAAATAACATGCTTATAATTTCTAAGTATTAGTTTCATCTTTATGGCTTTTACATGTTACACATCCCAGGTTTCACACTTAAGGATGACTACATCTATGCAGAATAAGCCATCTATAATATTTACACCTACTACACAAATAGTTTTAGAAACCTGAAATCTTCTATGCTATTGCCTGGAAGATGACCCATGAAATGCTGAGGCCATAATAACATACTGATTTAAACCAGAACTTGAATAGGAAGAGACCTGATACAAGTACACAAAACAAACACAATGAAGATAGGTAGATAGGTAGACAGATAAAGTGAGCAGAAACACCCAGAAATACCATGGTATAAAAAACAGCAAAACAATAGTCAAGAGAATTTTTAAAAAATGGGGAAATTCAAACCCAGTTGTATTAAGGATGCATTTACTGTATGACGCAACCCATGACAATGCTTAAGTGCAACTCTACATTTGGGAGAGTATCCACAGTGCCTATCTTTACACAGTTGAGGACTTATTTCCCTCCACAGCTAAATGAACAGAGACAAGTCCCTCCAGAATTAAGACTGGCACACAAATTTGACTGAGGTATTTCTGGTGTGTGCCTGTGCTATTAACTTTTACCTGCTGATACCTCATACAAAGATATCTAACCAGGCTTTGGGGATAAGATCTAGATAATAAAAATAGCTATGTCTGGCTGATTCAAACTTGCCAATGGATCAGCAAATATTCTGCATCAACAACACTAAAAAAAAATTCCAGAGAAACTTAAAGCAGTTTACTGTTGCTCAGTGCCTCCTGTAACCACCCTCCTCTCAAAACCATCTCTGAAATTAAGAACAGAAAAATACTGCTCCAAAAGTACCTTCCTGTGCAAGGCATTCTGTGGTTCTACTGTATTTCCCCAAGGGGAAAACTCTTAGGAACAGTACTTGGAAAGTGAGGGATCTCCAGGCTCCCCTTTTTTTATCAGGGTGATTAAGAGGACATCTAAACAGAGGTGGATCTCAGACCTGACAGGCAGAAAAACACAAGTTCCAACTATTTCTCTTCCTAACCACACGTCTAACAGTCTGGAGAAGGTAAGCCTTGAAGTTTCTTCTGCCTACAAGGCAACTAACTGCCAATGAAGGAAGTGCTCCAAGAATTGATCTCAATGTGGAAAACTATCAAACAATCAAGTACCACACTAAGGGTTACATCATTATAGAAATTACTCTCTTTTCCACTATTAGATCTAAAATGAGACAAAACAACCTTTCAAGGCTGAAGCATGTCTCTACTCTAAAATGAGTAAAATGTAGGTGTTTCAATCCAACATACGAAATGCGCAGAAATATTGCCTCTTTCATTCCCCAGTCTGTACAATTTTGCATAAATTAATTTTGAAGTCTGAATAAAACATACACATCAATATAAAGATGATTATGCATCATCTTTCTACAATTTACTTCAGGATTTCCTGTGCTAGAAATTTTGTGCTGAATTGTAACTGTCAAGATATTTTTAGAAGCTCTGAACAGTAGGCAAGTTCTCTCATATAAATATAATGGTCAGCTCTTTGACACTAATATCAAGGAAACTTAAGAGAAATCCATCTTTATAAAAAAATAACTTGAAAAAACTATTCTTACCGAGAATCTCTGTTATTAATCACTAGTTCAAGATTTTGTGCTGATGATGAATCTATCATAGCTGTTTTCTCACTCCCCTGGAAACGAACCTTGAGTGATTTAGGAGCATAAACCGAGTTTTGGATAAATTCAACGTATTTTAGCAAAGCTGCTGCAGCTGCAAGACAGTAGTACCTTGGAAAGAAACAATCTTTTATGAATGTTGACTACTGCTACAGAAATACCACAAAAGTAGAGCACTACAGAAATAACATTTACACTACTGTGGCTTGGCAATTACTGCGATTGATAGTACTGAAAAAGCAGTACATTTCAAATATGCACAAACCTGTGCCTAGTGAACATATATTCATGCAAATCAAATATTCATAAATGTCGGAGTCTCTGTACACTTGACAGCCTACACTATATCACTGGTATATGTGAATACGTATTTCAACAGAAACATGTGATTTGAAGACCCTGGTCACCAAGTATCAACACTTAAAATTGTTGATACATAGAAAATGCTTGCTGAGGCCAGAAAGAAAGGCAGTCACAGCTCTTGAAAGGTATCTTTAAGGAAAGAATAAAAAAGAAGTGGAAAGCTGTGAAAACTCAAAAAAAAAACACCCACTGTAACAGGCTATTTACATTTCTACATATATCAGAAACACTGGAGGGCAAAATAAAAAAACAGATCTGTTAAGAGTTTTCTAACTTTTGCAACATGACACAGATCTATGTAATGAGTACAGAAACTGATTTTGTTAAAAACTTATCTGGACACAGTATGCTTTTCCTTATTTAAACATACTTTGATTGGACTTCCATGAAAATGGTGCTAAATTCAGATGCACACAGTTGTTCTATGTACTCCAAACCCTTTGTTTCATTGAAGTATTTTCTCTGGACAGTTGTAAAAGTCACATTCTGTGAAGATGAGGATGAAAGTGAATAGTTTTAAAAGTTACATCAGAGAGACTTCTATACTTTTCTAGTGATACATGTTTCCAAGAAATCTATCAAATTATTCTGTAATCTGTCTTCATAGAAGTATTCATTCTAGCTTACTAGCATAAGCAGGGCAATGCAACTAGAAGCGTGTGATGCACAAGTGATTTATGTGAGAGAAAGAGGAGAGAGGTCAGGAAGTAGAAGGGCACTCATGAAGAAGCCATCAGCTCTGCAGCAATGAAGCAATTCAGGTAGTAATTAACAGGTTTTTTTAAGGTTCTGAGACTTTAATACACATAAATTACTTATACTAGCTCATTTTATCCTCTTTTACCCTGACAGTGCTCTTTTTCCTATTCTATGATTCATCAGCCCCACTGATTTATCAGATTGAGAGAACAAGGGACAATGCTTGATTTCTTAATTTCTGTATCTTTCCTAGGTTCGGTATTACCCAATGCCACAAATTCAAAACTGTCAGCTTTCATCAGCAATATATCTATCTCTGTAACTGTGAGTATTAGAAGTATCAGCATGGGAACTGCATTTAGTTTATTCACAGACCTGAAAATCATAGGAAACAAAATCTTAAGATTTTAAAACTTGTGTAAAACTCTTAAATCAACCATCATATAAAAGTGATCAACCATCATATAAAAGTGAATGAAATTTTAGATCTTACCTTGAAATGCTCCGTTATCAGACTGAAGAGTTTTGTTGTATTCCCTGCATCACAGGCAGTGTTTGACATTATTATTTCTAGTGGTGTCAAAATCTTGAGTTTAGTAATAACCTGGAGAGAAAATTCAAAATAATTCAATTTTTTAAAAAATTATATAACCGCAAATATTTTAGACAATAATGACCAGCAATAACAAAATACAGAACCCTTGCATTTTAGAGTCAGTTTGAGTTCTAAATTATCTGCTAACTTCTACATGAATGAGTCAAATTAATATGTATCTAAATATACATGAAACTAAATTAAAAACAAACAGAATTTAGAGCTTATCCACTGTTATCTGGACACAGAATTATGCTTGCCATTGAAGCAAGAGATAAATATCCAAAACTATGTTCCATGGCTATGATGAGGAGAAGGACTTATTTCAATAGATGGCAGTTTTCTGGGCTTGCAGCTGGAAGGTCAGTGGTGCTCTAGATGATGGAGAAATAAAACATGTCTGAATACTAATAATCTTTTGATTGAGACTAGTTTTTAATTTTGTTTTAATCTCCTCTAGTAACATTTACCTTGGTATTAACATAGGTGAAAAAGTGCATATTTTACCAGCTTTATGGTATGCACAACCCCTGTAACAATTTTTAGGAGATTATATGCTCTTCTACTGTAAAAGAAAGGACAAACAACATTATGCATTTATGTTCATTTATACCAGCATTCACAACTTCTCAAGGGAGAAACATGAAAAAACAGACTGCATTTTAACTGCTTACAAGTTAAGATGTGCAAGAAGAGACAGACGATGTCCCAATTAAAAGGTAAACAAGTACAAAAAATACACCAAAAAATAATCTAAGGGTATTTGGGATGGGAAGGCTGTCACTGCCTTTCATAGCTGCTAACCACCAAGAAGTTTTTTTCCAGTGGCATCACAATTCAACAAATCTTGAACAACTTAAAGAATACAAGAAAACTTGTTCTCAGAGTTGTTTTGCCTGATGAAGAATACTTGCAAGTTCTACTACCATATGTTGCCCAATGCTCTTCAAAATGAGGCACCTCAGTCCCACAAACTGTATTTTGCAGAAAGGCTATTTTTCTTTTGAAAAACATTCTTGCCTCTTTAATATCTGAGGCACAGTAAGGAAAATAGCAGTCTTTTCAACACTGCACATTTTCTAGAACTTGTTACTTCCACTTCTGAGAAATCTCTTCTGCAAACTAGAAATTTCATTTTCCATTAGTCATAAACTTTTTTTCAAGAAAGTCACAATAATGAGACCATAAAATACCTTGGCATAGGTTGTATTGTCTGCAAATTGTGATAATATCATCTCAGGATTTTTTAAATCTATACTGGCCATTCCTACTTCACCTCTGGCAAGGCCTCTTCCTTCTACTACAGCTACAATAACCGATGCAACACTATGAGCAGAAACTGCAGATGAGGATGTAACTGTAAAACAGCCATATATATTCAGTTACATTCCATTCGAATTAATGGAAGTTTGATCAACAAGCATCATAAACAACGGAGCAAGGATAAATAAATATACAGACGCAGGAAGGAATCATCAGTCTTTAAGAACATTAAAGACTGAACTGATAATGATTAGTCAGACTGTGAAAGAAGTAACTTTAAATCCCATTACTTTTGCATTACAAGAGCACATATGATACATATAACATGGCGCAAGGCATCACTACCCTGTAACACCATTTTGCTCATACGAAGCACTGCAAGATGTACCATCAGCTACTAAGTGTTCTGGAGAATTAGTGTTCTACACCTCTGAACATGCCAACATAAAATACATAAAACTTGCGTCAAGAAACTTGATAATTATGTTATATATGATGTCTAATGCATTACATGCCTAAAAATGAACCCTGATCAGAGATGTGCATGAATTTGGGCTCTTTAGTGACTACACTACATGTCCACAAATACAATTTGATTTTGGACAATTTGAAAGAAGTCTGAATTCTAACTATACTGATAATTCATACATGAATGCAAAGTAAGTAGCAAAAGGATGCAATACCAAAATATCTTCTTTGTACATAAAGTAGTATATTCTTGTTTGTGTATTGTTCCTTGGTAGTATCCTCTGTGGTACAAAACACATTGTGTTTTGACTTTATTTTAGTATCTTAGTATATCACATTAAAAATTAAACTGTTTAATAAAATAACGTCAAAAATATAAGTTGGACTGTGTCCTCTAAGAGCTGTTAATCTTACCCGAATGTCCCATAAGAGGGGTATGGCTTCTGCAACCAGATCTACCAGAAGAGAGAGGTGTTTTTCCTATACATGTGCTATTCAGGCCTCGCAGAGAAGAAGAGCTTGTGAGATTCAATGTGTTAGCATTTTCTACACAAGAACTTTTGTCCCCAAAATATGATTCTGAGGGGAGAGAAATAAGTAAATTATGAAAACAGCCACAACAAATTTTTATTCTGAAAGCAACATACAAAAAACAGCTTACAAAACTTCAATTTTTATTAGCAGAAACAGAGATATCCAAACAAAATTCTATGAAAGCTCTCCAGAGTATAAAATGAAATAAATCAGACTGCTTTGGAAACAAGCTTGCATTAATATTATTATATTTTACAATGAGATTACCTGCAGTGCTAATAAAAAAATTAGTTACATTGTTGGAACAGAAATAATAGAACAGAAGTCACTTTACTAAGTATCCTTTCATATTCTAATGAATTCTAAATTTATGAAAGAATGCTTTAAATCAACTTCATCTCACATTTGCCCATCATTTGAAAAATCAAAAACTGCACACATGTTTATGAAAACCTTTTTTTAAAAGCTAAGCATTCCTTTAAAAAAAAAGGACAATAAAAAAATTTTAAAAATTAAAAAAAAACCCACTAAAAACCACAAAACAAACAAAAAAACCCAAAACAAACAACAAAAAAAAACCAAAAAAAAAAAAAAAAAAACCCAAAGAGCCACTTGGGAATGATAACCCTTTGAATTTATGGGGATCAACTCTCAGAAATTATATAGTAATCTGGGATGTATTTGTTAAAAGCAGTTTCTTTCACACATGTATTTCAGATCTTCCTAGGTTTTGAAGTCCTGCAAAATATCTTTGTCTCAGAACACTTTAAATTTCCAATAAATTATTTAAGTAATTTACTTGTTTTTAATTCTCTTGAGATGACTGAAGACATTCTTAACCTAGTTATATAACTGCTTTCTCTGATTTAAAAAATGCATGAATATAAACAGCAGATCCACTTAAAAAATTCCAGGTATTATAAAACATGCAAACACAAATATTTCTGTTTCTTATATTACATTAAAAACTGACACACAAGACAAAATATTTAAGTATCGGTTTTAGACGATCAATTAACTGCATGAGTCTTTATCAAGGCTGGCTGGTAGAAAAACATCTCCTGTACTGGGGTTCTGGAGTTTGTTTGGGTGAGGTGGGATTTTCTTTGTGCTTGTTTGGTTGGGAGTTTTTTTATTTTTAAAACTGTGACAAGTGATAAAAATATTAGCTCAGATCTTTGGCTGGGGACTTTCTTAAGAGAGTGGACACATCAGCATTGCAATGCATGCTGATAACTTCTTTTAAATAGCATTCACTTAGATTTTGGCCTTCAGTTCAGTCAGAATTTTGGCAGAAGAGACATCCTGTAGAAGGTAGCAAATTTGGCATAACAGGGGGAAAACTATAATTTTAAAGACCAGATGAACCAATTCATATACAGATATTTCTCAAACCCAACATTTAAGTCAGGCCCTATTTGAATTAGCATTCTGTTTGGGGAATTTTTTTTTAGGATTCCTCAGTAGTCATATATATTACCCAAACGCATTTTACCTAATTACCAATTTATACACAATGGAAATACATGTACATCAGAGTTCATTGCAGCAAGCGTTAAAATAATTTCCAACTCTTTTCATAGTTTCTTTTCGTCTGAAAATACCACAATTTTAACTTTTCTTTGCTGCCAAGATACAGATTTTGATAGTAGATTTTTATAAAGAATGGCAAATAGCAGTATTGCATTGTAGGAACACAACATTCTTATCACACACCGAGACCGACAGGCTCTTAAAACTATTTCAAAGCCAGGCATAAAAATAAAAACAAAACCAAAAAACAACAAAACTCCCGAAACAACCAACAAATCAAACACAAACCCACAACTAACTCACAACCAACGTTTCGGTTCTCTCCTGTAAAACAAACACTGTGCAGCAATTCAAACACGTTTATTGTTCCCACCAGAGAGCTCAGCTACTACTATTCAAAGAAAATAAGAGATTCCTTTAAAGACGTGCAAGGAACGATTTCCATTGCTCTGGCCAGCTAAATTATAAAGGTCACTATGAAGGTTAGCTGCTGCTGCCCCATCTCAGTCAGGACCGCTTTTAACAGCTCTTTCGGAACCCGACCCGAGCAAAGACAGCAGAAAGAAACAGATGAAGGCGCAGAGAGAGAGCGTACCTTCCCGTTCGGACACCGCCGGCTTCACCGCGCTGCTCCCGGCGGCCCGGCCGGCTGCGAGGCCTTCCCTGCTGGAGCCGCCCGGCCGTGCCCCGCCGCTGGAGGAGCCCCCGATGCTCTCCGAGCTGTGCGGCGTCTGCAGAAGCCCCAGGGTGTAGCGGGGCGTCTGCTCGGCCCGCCCGCCCACGCCCGGCGTGGAAGAGTCGCGGCCCGTGTAAGACCCCGAGGCGGCTGAGGCGGCGGCCCACCCGCCCGCGCCCGCCATGGTGCGAGCCCTCAGCACCGCGCCCGGCAATGGCGGCACGCGGGCCCGACCGCCGCGCCCGGAGACGGGCCCTGCGGGTAAAAGCTGTCGAGCCGCAGCTATAAACGACAGAGCAGAGCTGCTGGCCCTGCAACGGGTTTCATTATAAATACGCAAGGGCCACAGCCATGCAAGGAAAGTGCTTGCTCTGCTCTTTAAAACAGGAGCACTGCGTTTCAACATAATTTCTCCCGCATTAATTCTTCACTATTCAGACTTTAGCAGGCACTTCAGCAATGTGTTCTGCTCAGGAGTCTGGGTACAAAAAGATCCCCGGAATAACCACAAAGCTAGTTTACCTCTGTAATTGTTTTAAACGCCTGCTTGTAAGAATGTTTTAGAACACCAACACTGCTTTGTTTATCACCATCATGTAACATACACCACTAAAATTTTCAATTCACATTTTCACTCGGCATAATTTTGTCTCTGACACTAAATACACCTGAATTATGAAACACTCCATATACTCACACCTTTTTTAACCTATAATTGCATAAGATCTTTAGAAATTACAGCTGACTTAGGAAATTACATTGATCAAACTTTCACCAGAGAGCTCCAATAATATTAACAGGATTTCAATCTAAAGTGAAATGTTCTACACTGCTATGAAATATCACCCATATTAATTCCCGGGCTATCTCAGTCTGTAAGAGATTAGAAACTCTAAAGACTATTCCATTTTGTCTAGAGAACATGGAAAAATAGCAACTTTCTAGCTACTAAACAGTTTTCCTGAATGAAAACAAGTGCACTTACAAATAAAACCGTAATGAAATTTTTAAAAATTACTTTAAAATTACTGGTTAACCTTTACAGTTAAATAAAACCTGATCAGTGCTCCCATTCCCTCACACTCAACACAAAGCCTTTTCTGTAAGGCTTTTTATTTAACTTTTCCCCCAAACCTTGAAAGATAAAATTCCAGGATTTGACCAAAGAATACATCAGGCAAATGGGCAATTAAAAGGAGTAGAGTTTTTACCTTAACTAAAAGCCTGTAGGCTTTAAAAATTCATTAGAAATGCTTGAGCACTCATTTACATTTTGTTTTTCAAATCCATGACAAGTAAAGGTCTATCAAATATTGACTTTGTCCAGTCGTAACTTACTCTACATTAACACAGCTAAAAGAACCCAGATACTGAGCCCCACCTGTAAAAGGCAAGGCACATTCAAGATCCAGCCACTCCACTACCATATCAACTACTGCTCCCTAAAGGCCAGAGCCTGGCACCCTCAAAAGACAAAGATAACTGTGCTCGCTGTCTACAGCCCATAGATGAACCGTACGGTCTTTGCCAAAAGTATCTAGACAGATCAATGTACTACTGCACCACCCTGAAGCTGTGCTACCCTGTCTTTAATATTGCTACACCCTTGGGCAGGGCAGCTCCTACCATGACACAGACACTCAACACAAGCACTGTGACTGTGAGATGCGATAAGCGCACAAGCAACAATGACTTCCATAGGGAATATGGCACCCACCAGCAGAGAGGTCCAACAGTGCCATGACAGTGCAGGTGCTCTACAGCAGCCCCAGAAAGTGGTGACTGCTGCGGCCATCAGCAGAGATGTGGATGAGAGCCATCAAAAGCAGAATGATGGATGAGCAAGAAGCCAAGCTTTAAGACAAAAGACTGTTATGGACATGGGGACAACTGGCGTGCGTGGTAGATGTGTCAAAAAAAACCTCACAGAAATGGAACTGAAGGCGCCACTTGGCTCACCACTGTGAGGGATGACTGCTCAGAAACATACAAAATATGATAGACACCAGACAGATCCATACCTTAAGCTGGAATTCCAAGACAAGAAAGGCTTGACAGGCACTAAGCTGATGTGGCAATGCACTTGTGACTCACAGGAAGGCTGCCAAGGTGCCTAGTGATCACTAAGAGCTATGGAGACATCAAGACCCAAGGAAGGTACAGTGTACAATGCAGAAGACAGACTAACACAGTTTATACAACACAGACACATGCTGGAACTGCTTTCTTTGGCACAGTTCTCACATCATGGTAAGAACTAACCTGCTCCCATGATTTGCCCCAAGGGAATTGGTCCTGAACTGTTCTCTCCCCTACACTGACTTTAAACCCCTCCTTGCAATTCCCAACTTTGCCCCCTCCCCCCACAGACATCCCCACCTCAGGATCTTCCCTCACCTTCACTTCAGAGGAATGGGGTACTTAAGCTATTTTCCTAGCTACTTGCCAGCAAGCCCAGGCAGGGGAGCCTCAGTACCACTGCCCTGCTCTGGGGCCCACCCTCTGCTGGGTGTCCGTGCACCCGGGGCTGAGTGCATGCACTGACTGTGGTTATGCACCACCATGGCCCTCATGACCAAGCAAATCCTCCCTTGTAGCCTCTGCACTGCAACCCTCTGATGCCAGTCTGAGCTTTCCTGCCATGACACCTTCAGTGAACAGGAGCTATCCACACCTACTGAGGCGTCTCACTCGCCTCACCCATGTCCAGCAGCCTACAGCATCTGCTCAGAGGGGAGATGCACCCTGCACCCTATCGTGATGTCCCTGTGACCGGAGAAAGGGATGCAGCAGCACCAGATCCCAAGCACGGTGCATCTACCACGCACGCCAGGACAGCAGCGGAGAGCAGCTGGCAGGAAAGGAAACGGCGCCCTGATGGGGCGGTAGCACACTGGGACCCCCCAGCCGAGAGCAGGACATCCTGCAGCCAGCGGGGAGCTCTGGCTGCAGCGCACCACGGGAAGTGCTCATGCAGGTGAGAGAGCTTCACTCTGGACAAGCCATCATCAAAGTGCTGTTGGAGTAAGTTTTATATAAAACTGAAGAAAAATAAACCTTGGATACAAATAAGTAACAAAATTAATGTAGCAGACAATGATGTCTTTTATCTACAATAGTCAACAATACAAAGAATTAGATATAAAAGGTTTCTTGGTCAAAAGTTTACTATACATTTGGAACATCTGTCTCCCTATCTCAAGACTGATAAAATACAAAGAAATTAAGCATAAAGCTTTCCAGCCCTCAAGAGATGCCATGATCCTAAGACTGAAGAAAAACCCTCAAAACCAAAACTACTGAGTCTGTTCTCCAGAACAGACACTGGAATAAAACAAAACTTAGGAAAAAAAAAAATTAAACTCCACCACCAAACACAGTTGCTACAGGGAGCACTGGGATAAAAAAGGAATGTAGTCGATACTGAAATCCTTCCTTATATTACCTATATGATTTGAAAAAATCTGTCTTTCGGAGAAGTGAGTTTGCAGATACTGTCTAAGGAAACTGAAAGGGAGGGAGGGAGGGGAAGAATTCTCACTGATGGGATCGTTTTGTATTCATTGTACTGCAAAATGACCAAGGACAATATTTCTGATGATGAAAAACAAACTCCTTCACCAGAGATTATCCTGAAGCCTTAACAACTTCAGGAAATAATTATACCCTGGGTTTTCTCCCCAGTGTTTTCAGTTGGCATTTCTCTGAGGGAGAGGGAGGCTTTCATGAAGATACTTCATGCTCCCATGCTCTGAAAAGTCAGAAACAACGTGATTGTCCCCCCTCAGCAACCACTTCGTAGTTAAGAGTCCTTCGATTCCCACTGGTCCACGTGCATGGATACGTGAAGTACTGATTCCCACTTCAGCACCTGCAGGAAACACCCAAAATAAAGGTAGTTAATCCGCTGATGATGTTCACTTCATACTAAATGTTTTCGTACCTCAAAGTTAAAAAGCTGCTTGCCTTTCAGGGACCTGCCATTCTCTGCTCCTCTCCAAATACCAATTGCATTTCCCTGATAGAGAAGCTCGAGGAGATTGTTACATGATAAATTGTAATGTTTATACTTCTGGCTACTACAGTTACTTTCAGAAAGAAAGATGCAAGAGAGAGAGAGAGAGAGAGAGGTATCTCTTGCATTGCTCTTAGGCTGATCTAAGGGCATAATCCTTCAAAGAAGAAAAAAAGCTAAACTAGTAAAGATTATGATCTTACATCCTTTTTTATCACATTGAGGAGATATTGGAAGACCTTAAAGGGAATTTTTCAGTCATATGGAGCACTGTTTAGCTAACACAGTAATAGCGTGTAGTGGAGACTTCTGATTTTCTGCCTCATCAAGGAATGAATGTTTCCCTTATCTTCTGCAATTCACAGTAGCTGCACCTGTTTATTTAATCAGTTTATACTCAGTTTAGTTCCTACCCTTCATTCCTTAACACTGCAGGACTTGCACATTGCACAGCATCTCAATCTGCCTAGCAGGACTGAAGCACTGCCTTCTTTACAGCATCATTAGAAAGAGAAATAAAAGGAAAGCTAGTCAGCAGTTTCACATCCTATATTGCATTGTTCTATTACTGTGCAGGCAGCATACTTTACTGCAATTGAATAGAGCTTCAGAGGATCCAAAATATCTTTGTGTGGATGAAATTTCTAGGCTTCAACTTTTCATACAGTACCCTTCCTGAAAACCTTTTATTAGAGAGTAAGATATGAGACTAATCCTACCTTTCAAGATTCATACTGCCACACTTTTCACACACCACAGAATTCTGCAGAGTCACAACCCTGCAATATCTTTACTCTTACCAAGTCCAAACCTATAGCCGTCAGAGAAACGGGTACTGGCATTCCAGAAAACACAAGCACTGTCCACATGCTGGAGGAAGAACTCTCCTGTTTTCTCTGGGAAAGAGGCAGACAAAAATAAAATCCATTACATACAGAATGATCATTATTCCAATAAACACTGAACATACATAACAATACAACTTTAACGTGCAACCTTATCAGACAGTACTTAAACAGCCTGGGCTAAGCCATGCTCATTTTTATCTTCCTCCCAGTACGCTTATCAATTAAGACACCACTGCAAATCTTAGAATAACCTCGCAAAAATTAGAAGCAAGCAAAAAGATGTCTAACTCCATTCAGTTTAGTCAAAGAGATTTATTTGCATGACCAAGGAGAAAGAATAGCTGCTCCACACAGCATCTGTCATTCAGACTGAGACAGTTGCGCTACAGTCAGCTCTCCATTAGTCTCAAACATGGAAGTGTTCCAAATACTGAGAAATCCTAAACTCAATTGCTATTGCGAGTACTATTTGAGAACGACAATGCAGAAATGCCAAATGCAAATGTGTGAACTTGGAGGTCAGTAGCCCTTAGCAACAAGACAGACATTCAAGAGCAACTCTATTTCCAGTATAAATCACTAGTTCACCAGGTCCCGTGGCACTGGTTATGGTATCGAATGCATGCCTTTTAGTGACAGGCATTTAAGCTCAGCAAGAAGTACAGAAACAGAAGCCTACTTGACTCACACTGGCAGCCGCAGATCAACATGACCTTAACTGCAGCTCATTCTCAGAAGTTCTGGGCTTGGTTTGGTTGGAGAGTCAACATTTGTTTTGACACAGCTCTAGTAAGGTTTTGCACTGGCACAGACCCAAGAGACGAACTACTACAATGTAGTTAGTTGCACTAACATCAGCAATTAGCAGTCAAACCAAAACAGCAGCTTAAAGAAGGTGCCAGGTCACTAACCATTCTCTGTGATAATCACATCCGTATGGGAACTTCCATACTTGTGGATATGTTCAACAGCCTCTTGAACGCTGTCCACCACCTCAATGCAGCACTCCAGGTCCCCATATTCTGTGCGCAGAGATTTCACTTCTGAAGGACTGAATGTCAAGTAAGATGCAAACTTTGGGCCAGCATGAATCTTCACCTGCAACACCAGGTACATTTTGTTTGTGGCTACTGACCATACCAGAGCCTTTCAGGTGAAAGTGTAGCTTCTTGTACTCAATATGGGATGGATAGCAGTCCCTGTGGTGCCATGTTTTGGACTTTTGACTAAAACAGTGTTAAAAACACATTAATGTTTTGGCTGTTACTAAACAGAGTTTGCACAACATAAAGGTTTTCTCTTCCTCCCTGTTCCAACTCTGTGCCTGTAGTACAAAGATCAGGAGCGTGCACGAGTTTGGGAGGGGACACAGCCAACAGCTGACCAGAACTGACCAAAGGGGTGTTCCATGCTATATAATGTCATGTGCTGCAATACAAGGGGGTTAGGGGGTTTTTGAAGAAGGTAGGCATTACCCAAGAGACTGGCTGGTCATTGTTTTTTTTGGCTGACAGCAAGGAATTAGCTTTGCTTTGTGGGTGTTGCTAGTGGGTTTTTAGTTTTGTTTTGGGGTTTACTTTTTTATTGGGTTATTTCCCCCTTTTTGTCTCCTTTCTTCTTCCTCTTTCCTTCACTTATCAGGCTATCTTTTAACCTGCAAGCTTCCTTGGTTTTGTTCTAATTTTCTCCTCCTGTCCCACTTGGAGGAGAGGAGAGCTAGCAGGCAGCTGGATGGTGCTTAGTCACTGAGTGGAGTTAATTCACAACACGCATGCAGTGTAAGAAAAATACACCTATTCTTTGGGAAACTTGGCATATAGGTGAATTAGCTACAAGGTACAGTAACTGACATGCTACGTTAGCTACCTACCATGACAAGCTCTAATTCAGGACTCATTTGAAATTACTTAAAGCAATTGCATCACTTAGTCACCAGGCAGAAAAGGCCAGTACAGCACTGCTAGGAAAACAGCTAAAATACTGATGCCAGCCTTTGTTTTAAGACAGCAACTGCAATGCAGAGAATAACTAAGGGAATGCTTCCAAATTTGCACCTACGGAAGTCTTAAGATCTTGAAGGACTTCTATCCTTTTATTACTTTATAAATTGATACGAGCCGTCTCTGAAGCACATCTCAGATACAAAGCAGTTACTGAGTCCAAAACAAAAAAACCTCACACAGATATTTTTCATTTGTTATAAAGAAAATTTTAACACATTATCAATCTCTGCCAAAACACCTAAACAACGAGAGATAATTTAGAACAGATACAGCACAGAAATTCCATGCAGATGAATTTCCATTCAAACAGGAAATTTTTACAAGACAAGCATAAATGGGAAATAAGGCAAAAGTCTACTAAATGTGAAGGCTTTTAAGACAACATCTGTAAACCAGCATTTTCTTGTGCAACTATAAATTACTTTAATTGCATAATC